CATACGTCATGAACCCACCAAGCGGTCACGTCGGTTCATTTCAGCGTGGAGGGAGACCATTTTACAGATTGTGAGCCTTAGCATGTGTCACCATAGATTCTTCTCTGGGTTTGTCGGTTAAGATCCCGGTTCGCCTAAGATCCCGTATTTTCTTGCTCCCGAGCACCGGGATCTTAGGCGGAGACTACTGTACTACTACTACTACTCCACTACTACTGCTACTACTACTACTACTACTACTACTACTACTACTACTACTACTACTACTACTACTACTACTACTACTACTACTACTACTACAGAGAGAGAGAGAGAGAGAGAGAGAGAGAGAGAGAGAGAGAGAGAGAGAGAGGGGGGGGGGGGAGGGAGAATTTAGGCGAAAGCCTTCGATTCTGAACTGCCTGCATTATATATATATAATATATATCCCATGCAAAGATAGTCGTCGTGTCCTCGTGTCTACGTTATGGTACAGTAAAAACAAAAGTGCCAAATTAGATAGGCCTATACTGCAAAACAGGGCCCTCAACCACAGCACTCGAGATAAAAATGACCGAGACAACTCCAGAGTTTCTATTTTTAGAAGGGTTATCAAGACGAAAATGTCAACGTCATTGTTTTTATATCCGATCAGATTGGCTCGCGGAAAGTAGGCCTAAGTGAAAACCAGTAGCAATAAAACTGGTGAAATGGTGTGGGTATAAAACACCCTTATAATAATAATAATAATAATAATAATAATAGTAATAGTAGTAATAATAATAATAATAATAATAATAATAATAATGATAATTATAGAATGCAATATTGTTATTATCATTATCATTAATATAAACATGTTTGTTGCAGAAGAACCTGCTACCTGCAACTGCAGTTATTATTGTTTTTATCGTCACCATTATCACAATAATAATAATATGTATCACGATAGTGTTATTAGTATCATTATCATTATTATTATCATTATTATTATTATTATTATTATTATTATTATTATTATTATTATTATTATTATTATTATTATTTATCATCATCATAATATGTATTACGATTGTGTTATTAGTGTCATTATCATCATTACTACTACTACTACTACTACTACTACTACTACTACTACTACTACTACTACTACTACTACTACTACTACTACTACTACTATTAGCCGCGTTTTGTTATTAGAGTTATTACATAGAAAAAACAACAACACCAAAATCAATCAAAAGAGTAAAGGCATCTTGCAGGCATGGAGTTTGCTTTCTTTTTTGTTTTGTTTCGTTATCTCGCACTTTGTTAACTACACTTGGGTCTGTTTAAGACGACCGTTCATGGTCCAGGCGAAAAACGTTCACTCACTCATTAACAGTGTCATCATTAATAGAAATACTAAAGAGAACATTATTAATAATAGTAATAATAATAATAATAATAATAAATAATAATAATAATAAAAATAATAATAATAATGATAATAATAATAAATAATAATAATGATAATAATGATAATAATAATAATAATAATGATAATAATAATAATAACAATAATAAATGAAAAAAGATCTAATTATATATAATAATAATAGTAATTATAATATTGGGCCAATAATAATAATAATAATAATCATGGGCCAATAATAATGATAATAATAATCATGGGCCAATAATAATGATAATAATAATAATAATGATAATAATAATAACAATAATAATAATATAATAATAATAATAATAATAATAATAATAATAACAATAACAAGCATGACAGTAATTATAATATTGGGCCAATAATGATGATAATAAAATAATAATAATAATAATAATAATGATAATGATAAACGAGAGCGGGAGGTGGGAAATAAGAAGGGGTCATTTCTACCTACAGGTGAATGTCTTGGGCGGTCGGTCGTTGGAGCAGGTACGACTGTATCTGTTAACACAGTCTTTACCAAACTCAAAGGTGTGGGGCAGGAGAGCCAAGGGAAGGCAAAGAATAACGCGGATGAACAACAACATATATAAGAACATGGACTGGCCTGGTTGTAGCACAATGTGAAACGGTAGCTCGCGATCGTGAAGGATGGGGGGTCATTACACGTGAACCTCTGAGTCAGAGATGGCACCTCCGGGTATCAGATACCAAACGCAAGTAAAAATAAAGGAAATAATAATGCCAGCCAACCTCATGAGCAACACAGACAAACATCTGTTCAGGCTAACAGAACAACTGAGCCAAGTAGGTTATGTAATGGTATGATAAATACTGGACCCTTTGAGTGATTCGAAGAAGAAGAAGAAGAAGAAGAAGAAGAAGAAGAAGAAGAAGAAGAAGAAGAAGAAGAAGAAGA